GGTAAAAAGCTGGTATACTGGTGGAATGACCGAATTGCTGAGCTGCGAAGGGCCTGCCATAGAATTCGAAGACTCGCAACGCGCACTCGTGGTAGACATGAGGCGCGGACCAGAGCAGCAGCGCTAAGAAAGCACTTGGGGCCGAGATACAGAAGAGTAAACGGAACTGCTGGAAAGCGCTATGTGAGGAAGTCCATCGTGATCCCTGGGGCCAGGGATACAAAATATTGATGCAAAGGTTCCATGCATCATCGCAGGCGATGGATGAGGCCCGAGTTAAGAATATAGTGGATGCGCTATTTCCCACACACCCACTAAGAGCAGATACAGTGTTCGTTGAGGAGCAAGCCGAGTCACCACTGTTTTCGACAGACGAGCTGAAGCTAGCCCTGTGAAGCATGAAAGCCGGCAGGGCTCCAGGCCCAGATGGCATACCAGCGGAAGCAATCAGGTTAGCAGCGAAAACAAGCCCTGATCTCCTGCTTAACATGTACAGCAGCTGCCTTAGGGCCCGGGTCTTCCCAAGCCAATGGAAGAAGGCGAGACTGGTGCTTATACCCAAGGGCAAAGGGGACCCAAACTCTCCTTCATCCTTCCGGCCACTCTGCATGCTAGAGACAGCAGGCAAAATGATGGAGAGTCTGCTCAAAATACGCTTGACGTCAGCCATAGAAAGCGAGGGAGGCCTTTCACCCCGACAACATGGCTTCAGGAAGGGCCACTCAACTATAGGAGCAATTGGCGAAGTAATCGAGGCGGTACATAAGGCCGAAGAAGCCTGCCACCAGGCGTGGCCAATAGTGCTGCTAGTCACACTGGACGTCAAGAACGCCTTCAACTCGGCAAGATGGGACGACATGCTGGAGGCCTTGTAATGGTCATTCAAGGTTCAAACATACTTACTAGATATGATCTGGGACTACCTCAGAGACCATTGGCTTTTGTAGAACACAACACAAGGTCAGAGAAAGAGACGTATAACCGGCGGAGCAGCACAGGGGTCTGTACTTGGCCGGACCTCTGGAACGCCACGTATGACAGTCTGTTGCGCACGGAAATACCAGAGATCACCTTCCTTGTCGCCTTCGCTGACGACGTGGCCGCCGTCATAACAGCAAGAAACGTCCAACTAGCACAGCTGGATCAGCGATCACGGTCTACAAACAGAGATCGTGCTCCTCAGCAGGAAACGGATTCCAACAATTATAAATATGATGGTCGAACCTGAACTCGTGACAACTTCTAGGTCTACAAAATACCTAGGGGTGAAGCTTGACAG